CAATTCTTCTGGCCACTGGTGAGGTAAATGTCCAGGTTTTAATAAAACTTGCTCACCTCCTCATCCCGTCTACCGTCGTTCACAGCGCAGTGACTCTTCATTGAAGCTGACCCGCCCATTGGAATGGCAGCCAGCTATTGTGGAAACTCAAGTACTGCGCATTGGAACGTTCTTGATTGTTGCATTGCCCGGAGAGTTTACAACAATGTCTGGACGACGCATTCGAAACGCGGTAACCCAGGTAATCAACTAGTGATGACTTTTGAATTGCGAAGTTTCATTGAGGAGCGTTTCTGAGATTTCCACAAGTCTTCAGAAAATTGAATAGAAATAATCCTAGTTCGACTAAAAAAGAAGTCCTTTAAGTTCAATAATTCAGTCTCCGCTAAACAGGAACTAGGAAACAAACCAGCACTTTATTTTCTCGTTATTCTCTGCCTGTCGCTTATAAGGTCGTCGTGTATATCAGAGTGATAAATGGTTCAACTGTAGCACCTTTTCGGTTTTTAACTGCCTTGCTTCCAGAAGGAAGCACGAGGGCTGGGATACTGCCATGTTGCCCAAGCCTAGACAGGGGAAGTTGAGAGGATCAGGTCGGGTTCGTACCACGGACCTTCCGGTAAGTAAATTCGCGCTCTAACCGCTGAACCACCTCGCCTTAGTGATATTCATAATCAGATCTGTTTATAGTGAAAAGCTCCTAAAAAGAGGGACTTATGCCGTTAGGAGAATACAGCCATGATCTTTGTCAGCTGCAGTCAGAGCCCTGTTCTTGCGGAGAAGCCGACCCCCTTGACTCCTTCTCCGTCGTAGCTACCACATTCGTTGTGACAAGATGGAACAATGTACTATGTCGTTGGTTGTCGCATCAGTTTTTTCTATGGTCATAAGGAAACAAATGGTTCTTTCCGATACAATTTGGTTTAACATTGTGATTCGTGTGTGAAAACGCTAAATAAGTAACTAAGACCAACCTAATACTCAATATCCTACCCCCTGATTAAGTAAACAATTTAGGAATGAAGTTCTTGATCATTGCAGATTTGTTATTAATACCGAATCTACCGCATACACTGAAATCACAGTCCATCATCCATCCATTTTCGATCTACTGACCATCATCAGAACAGCGATTAACAGGGTCACTTGTCAGATCACGCTACGTTTTGTGAAAAGGATGAAATGTCGTGGAGTCATGTAGCAGGATGCTATAGATAACTACACCTTAATTAATCGATGTTAGCATGTGCAAGTCATTGAAGAATGATATGCAATTCGGTATTGTTTTTGTGAAAAAGGAGAGGTATCTTTTCACACTATATGTTTCGATGGGTCCTTTGAATCACAGTAGCACTGAGGCATGAAGCACCATATGGACCATTCTTATGAAACACGAAGCGTGGCCTCGGTTTCGAAAGGGTCATTATTTGTAGCACGCAATTTCTTACGAAAATCCAGTCGCACTGACTTATTCAGTGTTATCGTCGGCCAGTCGCTTTACTGTTCGTACTAGTTTCCTAATTTTTACTTATTCATCTATTCTCCTGTCTGTTTACTGGTTTATTTTGTTGATTTTTTTAAAAGCGATATTTATCATTCTCATCTATCAGGTGACTGACTCCAATACTCATCCCCAAAGACCTCATAAATGTATGAAGGGTCAACTATTTAAGAAAAACGTTGGCTACTATAATTTCAGGTACTTCTTCAAACCCGGTACAGAAAATTGTGCACCTTGATTTTACAGATGACTGGCCAAACCGCCGCTGTCCATTAGTGCCCTTATTGAGCTCTTAGAAACCTCCTCAATGGGCTAGACTTTGGAATAGTCCGGATATCCCCAGGTCTTTGATGCCAACTGTCAGAGAGTAGAAAGAGACTTAATATTCGAATGCGAATTCCAAATGAACATAGCATGGATATAATCGATATCAACTGTCAAACAGTTAGGCATGGATTTCGAGGATCGATGCGGACTTCAGGTAAGAAACATTCACGGAGTACGTACATCGTTGGCAGCGTAATCGGGAAGCGGATGTCTTTTCGGTCCTACTACTTAAAGTTGGGTTCCTCATTTCAAGCCCTACCATATTTCCTCTCACTTTCTAGCAAATAATCCCATCGATTTCAAACTATTCAACTGGGAAGATAAAATTGGCTGGAGAAATAGGAGGGAAACCAATCACTTTGGTGTTTTCAGGGAATAGTTTTCCGTGGAGACTTACAGACTCACATCTTCACCACATTTAACTATGATTTGATGTTTTATTCTGGCTAAGTTCTTGAATCGTCTTCTGCTGACCTCAAATCAAGATGACGTTATCCTAACTGCTTCATTCTGCAAAATGTAACACAGTAAGCTTCAACTTGTTTTCGAGTTATACCAAACTATTGGTTTTTGTTGGAAGTTCCCACGTAAACGCAATCCTAAGATATAGTCTTTTCCTCTACGTTACCTCGAAGCAACCCTGCATTCAAGCCTGAAAAAATAAATGTTACACTAACAAAATAGTTCACTTATGAGTGGTTGTCTAGCCGGACTTGAACAAAAGTGGACTTTTTATCAGTCCCCTTAGTCTTACGAGCAAGAGCAATTACATACTCATGTTAAGTCCGAGGAAATCATCGTAATTCATGGGCGACAGTTGGTCATGTTTGGAGAGACAGTCAATACTGAAACACACGTATCATATCGGTATTGACTGCTCACGGCGTTTGAGCTATGGGCACCAAAGGCGTTACCGAAGGCGTACGTTTTGTGTAGGTTACCATTTACAAGCGAGAACAAACCACTCCCACCGTTGGTAGAAATTGACTGTATCGAATCCAACCCCTGCCACTTCTCAAGTTGCTAATCCACGACATTTAGCAACCATTCCAAATACTTAGCACCCTTACGGTATGCCCTCTAACAGTCTGGAAAAACCTAAATTGTACCAAGCATACGCCTTGAGCCTACGGATTCCCTACTTGTCTGATGAATGATATATGGAGCTGCAGGTAAAGCATAAAGGGAACGACACGAACAGGATTAAACCGAACCACCTACCTCCAGCTTGGTTGACGATTGCCCTCTCAGCGGAGCTCCTGAGGACGCCAACCCGTATAACATTGAGGTCGTTGCGCATCGCATTTGCTGTGCTATTCATTTACTTAGTGGCTAAAAACCAGGAGGCTGTTTACGGCAGTAGTCAGTTCCTTACGAGACTTCCACAGTGGATAATACTTAATTACCTAGGGGAATTTTCGGGATTCATTCCCTCTTTTGTGCCTACAATCGTCCGTTTGTGTATCTGAGTTTCTTATCTGAGGACTCGCTATATCTACTCCCTTTATCATACAGCTCAAAGGTGAACAGGCTCGCCTGTTTAGAAGAGCAAATTTTGTTGGTTCTAGAATTAACTGGTCGGGGAGTACGAAAAACGCTTGCCATGTCCGTTATATGTCCCTAGTTCTAATCCTAACATGGCTTCGTTAAAAGGAAGCCTGCAATCCATTCCTTCAATGCAGTGATGTGAGCCAACCAAGCCATTCAAACCAGAGGGTTGTTAATTAAAATATCTTATAATTGCCAAAGCTTCGATTGGGTAATCTGCCTCCGTTAAGTCGTGATGCAGTCAATCTTACGTTTATCAGCAATATGTTTCTGCTTTATATGATCGGCATCTATTAATCCATCTGGTGATTTGTAAGAAAGGGCTAGCAGCAGTTTAGCTCCGTAGCATTGGTAACAGCATTCTCTTATACACCGTACGGGACGATTCGTGGGTTGTCATCGCATTACACGCATCACGTATGCATGCAGTGTTCGTGGAAGATGTTATGTGGGTTGGAAGGAAATATAGCCCCGCTTTTTCAGCTCAAGAACTCTCAAGTATGTAATTCATAAAGAGGAAATATGACAATACAAGTTGGCTTCGGGTGTCAGGCTTCAAATGCTTAATTCGAGAGGTGAATTTCATCAAAGAGACGAATTGGCCAAACTAAATATCTCACATATTTAGATTTCGTGAAACAGACCCAACATCACATTTCATTTAAAACATCTGGCCTTACTACAAAGGTTACATTTTCCCCATGTGCCTAGACGAATATCTGGAGTCATCGACGCGAATTCAGTGAGGCGAATTTCGAACAGGATTAGACGATGAAAACTGGGAACTTCTGTTTGTGATCAGCAAGCAGATGTCTCCAAGTCCAGGCAGTTGTTTGGTGTTCCGCTTCATAATCCAGCTTGTAGTGCGTCGGGTATGCTAGACTAAGTTCAAGTTATTGGGATTTTTTCTGGATAGATTTAAAGGTTTTCTTCATGGATTTTATTCCGAAATATAAAGTTAGTCTTCTCCGCTGAGAGCTGCTAACCTTACACATTTCGGTGTACAGTACTGTTCATATTTCCGAAGAGCTGATTCACTTCAGTTGACATGATCTTGACTGACTTTTACAGCAATGACTTAATGCAAGACTGAAATTTCAAAATATTGCTCAAATAATGTGCCCGGAAAAGATTAGGATTCACAAGAACTATCCTCTGTGAGCTGGACTAACCTGCAATCACTCAGTTGAAGAGTGAGTGCTCCTATTTCCCGTCTAAGGAGAACTCGAACGCACCGCTGTGCCAATGTTTAACCTGGATTGGATTGCTCTCAGTTATGGGAAATCGGCACCGGGTTTCCCGGCTTCGAATCACCTGCCGACTCTATTTGTAATAGAAAGTCTTCACTGACGATGGAAAACTAGGGAGTGTACCACAGGACACAGATATACGTGACGCATTCATAATGAAGTATCTGTTCCACATTCTACGTAAGCCACTCACTTTTGAAACAGTTAATATGCAGTTCAGAGATAACAAAGTTTGTAGTTCTTTAAGACGATCTGAAATTAAGCTGATAAGTTTTCTGCTCTTCGCCAGATAGAAATTACACCATCATCAGCACCTTCTCCACTTAAGTACGCCCAATTTAAAGACAAATTTTGTTGGCACTAAGATTCAGTTTTGGGTCTGCGGATGGTTGATTTTTTTGTCAGCTAAGTGTGTGATATACTTACCTTTTGGGTAGCTTCATGAATTTCCAACCAAGCAGTCTCCAGATAGATTTTAGTCTGGTTTTGTTCCAAAACAACCAGTATGGAGACAACCAGTCATCAATAAATTGCATATGTTGTCCCACACATGTGGCAGCCACAATCACTTTGAAGACTGCTATTTGTAAATAAATAACACTCAGGCACGGATCGAACACGACTGCGAAATGCACGGTCTTTGATGTCTACGCATGACCTGAAACTGTTATCTAAGCATACCACGTGGCGAAGTTCACTGAAGCGTACTTGTATATGCGGGTATTGCATTGCAGTCCAATTCGTGGCACCACATATACAGTGAACAGAAGTGTGAAGTTTTTTGCGGTTTTTCTGGTTTCTTTTTTCATTCTGATGACAAACAAATTACAAAGTTGGAGCCCCATATAATAAAGTGATTAGGCTTGTATTCTTAAACAACCGAATAGCTCAGAACACGTCCCCATGTCTACGTCGTACCAGTTCAAACAACTGGCTTGAGACCAATATGTCTAAACCTTTATCCTAACTCGACTACATAACAGTATTTCGTGTAAATCCAACTTTTGCGATGCGCGTTAGACATAAGTATAGGTGAGCAGTTGTTTGGTGTTCACAACTTCCATGTAGAGGTAATTATGGACAAGAATCAATAAATTATAATGTGAAGTCAAGATGTCGTATTACTGTCACTCTCGGTGCCTTCAGTAAGGAACGGTCACCGAATCGAGCCACATTGACATTTCTGTGTGACTGATTGTTGTTCAGGGGAGTTGAAGGTGTTGCAATAGAGTAGTGTCTGCTATGCAGCTGTAATGCGCGTTATGTTGCATCTCTTCCACTGAGGTAATATGTACAAAGTCTGCGTCAGACTCTTTGAGTTCAGCCATCTGCCTTCTTAGACCAGCCCAGTCAGTCGGTTGGTTGAGACATTTTGTGTACAACGCGGGTACTTACGCTCCAATGTGACAATTATTTATAAAAATTCATACCGGTATACCTGAACATTTAGACTGATGACTTTTTATTTTCCAAACATCGAAGTCCAGGTTATACAACGTTTGGTTTTTGTTACTCATCGTATAGGACCAGAGCTTGTTAGCTACGCAAATCACTTTTTCGGTGCTGCAGAAGTGTGGTCACAGTGTGACGTGAGCTTGCCGAATGAACCACGAACTCCGCACCAAAACCTCTGTGATATGAGTTGTATTGCATGATCACACGCACACATTACAGCAAATACAGAGACACACACCAGGCTCTCTAGACGGGCACAACCCTGTCAAAGTTCGACAATCAAAGGTCGTACGTGAGAAATTTTATTTTCTCTAAGGACTGGCGCACACGGGCACTTTGTTTAATTTTGTTCATCATGTCTAAATGAATTATGGTAAGAATTATTGGAATGCAGTTGACGTCACAAAAGAACTATTCGGGTACGAGAAACACATCAACCGCTTCTGCCTAGGAGTTTCAACCTACTGCACAGCAAAACTTAGCAAAACAACTTGCAGCTAGAGAGACGAGAGCTTCTCGATCTTTTTGTTCCACTTTAGTTTAGAGCAAGCGCTACTCGGTAGATTATTTGAAGAGTAACCGATAAATAGAAAGAACGAAAGAGAACACAGTTGACAAGAAAAACGCCCGAACCTCATGACAACTACACGATCCATTCATCCACAACTATGATGTTTTCAACAGCTTTACGAAAACACAAGCCAAGACTTCCGCTTTATGTTGCTGAATAACTGAATTTTATGTTTTATACTTTGGCGGCCGTTTCATAATGGAATAAGTAAAATACTGGAAAATAGTTATGAAGATGTGTATACATCAGCAGAAAATACGGTTTTCTGTCGAACGAGCCTAAGTTGTATTCCTGGTTTCACTGCATACTAAACGAAAGTTCTCGTGAAGCAACACATTAAATGGCGTACCTCTACAGGTACTTTGTAATAAATTGGATTTCATTCTTGTAAATTCAAGTAACTCTGTATGTAGCCAGTGATCTGAGACATCAGTGGAGAATTTTGAAACCCGTCATTGCAGTCTTGTTTCTAATTATATGAACCGCCGTTAACACAGGCATCTACTGTCTTCCGGTTGCCGAAGGCTCAGAGTTGGTCATAATCACTTCGATGCTTTAAGAATTCGATGGCTGCTCGAAAAAATAGTTTTCGGTACTTAAGGTCATGGCAGAATGCAATACAGTACCGGGTTTGGCTTGCATAGGTGCGACTGACACAGCTGCACAAAGCTGCTAACCACGTAGAATAAGGCTTGAATGAGGTCATTTTGAAATGTTTTCGGGTAGGAAACACGAACTGAAAGTTTCTAACTTTATAACTCGATTTTAACTGTGTCAAAAAATTTCGTCATCTGAAGCGAGGCAACCCGGAGAATGGAGTGAAGCACTTAAATGTCGACTAGTTAGTTTCAGTTCGCTTACAGATTTATTTTTGTTCTCCAATTCTGCGGCATTTTATGGGTCTACCTTTGGTTTGACGCAATGATCGCCGGTTATCAACAATTGATTAAAACGTATTCGGAGCAAACTGTAAACCAACTAGCGTATCTCTGCAAACACCCGCTTCTGAAAAAAAAATCAAAATAGTTTTGTCCACATACTGCCTCTGCATCGCCGCGTATTCTTGTACACCATCTCTCTGAAGGCAGTTTTCGAATCTTGTTTCTCGTTTAGAAACAAGAAGGGGAGTCTCTTCAAAACCGTGCATTCGTCCGGTGTAAAAAAATGCTCTTCACCCCGGTTTTGATTAAACTATCTAGCAATCCAAAGTGTATTTGAACTAAACATCCAAACTTGTCGCAAAATGTTGAAAATAAATTCAGTAATAATATATCTGTGATGAATATGGCATTGAAACCTGTGACAGCACAGACAAAAAGGTCAAGTAAGGCCGGACTCACGAAAACAGGCGATCGTACGACAATCACTGATCAATCGTACTAACGGCGTAACATTGGTCGGTGCCTACATGTTTTCCCAGCAGTGAAATCAGATGACAATCCTGGAGTGTTAACATCCCCATGTACACAGCCACTATGCAACTGAGGTCAAAGTGTATGTTCACCCAAGTACCTTCGGGTCAGCCAATTTTAATCGCCGCGCGAAACCACGATAGAGTGATGAGATACTAAATGAACACGATTAATGGCAGATCCATGACGAATCAAACACGATGGATCACTTTGTTTTTCCGATGTTGCAAACTGGATTTAAGTAAAAGATGGTGTGAGTGAGGGGCTAAAGGTTTAAGAAAGAAGGTACTTGGTAAACCGTTTGCCAAAAAAAATAGTGAATGATGAAGGGAAAGGATCCCCAAATAACGACTAACAGTACAGCAAGGGTATACTGTAAAAATATCGGACATTTACTATATTGGCTTTCGCATAGTCAGTATCATCTCTCATTCTCCCCACGGGCTGTTTGAATGCGAGTTTTAATGGACCATATTATCGACTGGATAACTTCAAATCTAGTAATTAGGTTTGTGAGATCAAACTCAGAAGTGTAACATTTAAAGCGCACTAATAGGTTTTCCCGCATTTTCAACCCAAAGAGCAAGCGTCGTTGTTTTCTTTTGGATTCTTATTGATCATAGCTTAAATGGACTGATTGTTCCATTCTCAGAAGTACTTTTCTTAGGGTGCACCGTATTTCCTGGGAGGTGAATATTTCTGGATGGAGGCCCTTCTCACAGTCACATCCTTGGAAGAAATCATTGCGTAACCTTTCTCCCTGACCGATGTGCTCTTTTCGCTCATGCAGGTGGTACATCGGGAAACCGGTTATTGGCCGAGATTTAAAGGTCCTTCCGAATTTCACGTCGTACTGGCTGGACTGTCTAACGTGTACACGAGTTACGTGGCAACTCCCGAAGAATATGAGGTAAGCGGTCCCAGAAGAACAACAGGCGCTGATATCCGTCAGCAAGAGACACTGTGAATTGCATACCAAAGCCAAGTTGACGCTTGATCCAAGTCAAAACTTTTATCTTTCAGTAGGCAAATCAGCACTCAGTTTATAGTAGTTCACAAGAATAATCCCCTGATTTAAGATGGGTTATGTAATCCAATAATGTGTATGGAAGCGCCCACTTTTTTAGTTTCATTGAAAGGTCAAAGTTTTGTTTACTGCCTTTACCTGCCAGACATAAATGCAGAATAGATGTAAAAGTGTTTTGGCAACATGAGTGAACGTGCAGGCATACGCACGTTTAATTAGCTCACCAAAAACCACACGCACTGCTTGACTAGCTTTTTTACAGGGTGTGGAAAGCGCCTCTGTGCTGGAAAACAACCAGAAAATCTTTAAACGTTTTCCATCTCTTTTGGAAGTTGTTAGCAATGCACTTCTCACTTATCCCCAGGAAATGTAAACCTGCGACCCTCCGCATGAGGGTTGATCTGTAACGTCTTGATGTGCTTCCTCAATCAGTTGTATGACTGGCCTGGATTTGCAATATAAACTAGGACACATATTAGATTTAAGGGGAGAAGATGCGCTGGCTTGGCGCCGCACGTACATTTTTGTACTTAGATGAAGAGTCTTGTTTAAAGCTCATCCTCAGCATCATTCAGCCCACCTTACTGGGCGGAAATATAACTGAGGAGTTTATTCTAAATACCCCTTAAAATCCGAGAAAACTGCAAACAAACGTTTATTTCCAAAGCCGATAGACCCATATGAGGTAAAATTCTTCCCTATTGAACCTGAAGAGCACATAGAGTATTGGCACAACAATCCGGGTATATTTTGATCGCACATTCGCACAAGGGTGCTTTGGTCAGCGTATTCGGCAAAAAATCCCTACAAACGCAAGTTAGTGGGAAACGGACTGATGTTAAGTAGGGTAGAGTCACCGAGAAGAAGAACTTCTGTCCAACTAAGTCCGGTTTCTATTAGGCATACGTGACTACCTCGACGAATCGAACCAACTGTTTTGCAGGTGGGTAAAGCAGGATTTCAAATACAGTATCCGCGTTTTCAGTGTGTGCGATTTTCACTAGGTGTCGGACAACGGAAGGCACCACTTGCCAGTGGTTTGGTGTCTGTTGATTGCTGTGAAAGGCGGACTTACTGGATTAGTTTGTAGGTCATTTCACTCGGACTGGCACGAGTTTGGCTACTCTTAGTCGGGGTTCCAACTAAGTCGGTTTCTATTAGGCATACGTGACTACCTCGACGAATCGAACCAACTGTTTTGCAGGTGGGTAAAGCAGGATTTCAAATACAGTATCCGCGTTTTCAGTGTGTGCGATTTTCACTAGGTGTCGGACAACGGAAGGCACCACTTGCCAGTGGTTTGGTGTCTGTTGATTGCTGTGAAAGGCGGACTTACTGGATTAGTTTGTAGGTCATTTCACTCGGACTGGCACGAGTTTGGCTACTCTTAGTCGGGGTTAATTTACCGTTCTGACCAAATAGATTGCCAGGTTCCCTCACATGAGATCAGATAATGCAGATTAGCAGACAAAGATAGGAGGCTGACAACGCAGAAGGCCCCTTACTTGTCTTGCAGCGTGGTACATGCGTCTTAGTTTCAATGCAATAAGGCATTCCGCTTGCGCAATCCCTTTTTAGGGGAGTGAAATGTTTTGAAACTGAAAGCACAGTATCCAGGCTAGGGAGCTCAGTACGGTTTTGCTTCACAAACACCGACGAATAATGCTTTGGGGGATATATTTCATCCACCTTATGATCTCAGATGTCAGGTCTTGGTGTTGACTTTCCGGCATAATTTCCATGAATAGATGTGCGGTATTAATGACACCATTCACATAGGTGTAATGTGAAAATTTCACCATGCTGTTTCAGATACGTGAGGTAAACTAATGCTTGTCTACTCGTCGGCACAAAATAGTTCACTCCATGTCTATCTCTTTGTTTCGCTCTAAAATGTTTAGCTGCAGAGGTACGAAGGCGCTTCCACAATCTACGGACCTTTGACCCTTCCAGCTTATGTGGAACAGTTTCAACATCTCACAACAGCCTTGATGAAGGTGGGCCGTGATAAATCATCTTTATTAAACTGTTTTGCGCATCACACGTTTTTTGAAATGCTTTTTTTCTTCACACGACACAAATTCAAAGTATAAAAGCTATGGTTACCAAACCGGCTGATATTTGTGTACACGGTTTCTTAAAAGTCCCTATCACACCTCGCCGTGTGGTTCATGAAACCCTCTAACCTTATTTTCACATTATCACTCCGTCCTTGTTGCCACTGTGATTAGGCTACCTGATAGTTCGAACCACCGGAACAAACTAAGTTCTGCCCAATAAGTTAACAAGAGTTATCCAGGAACAGAATAAAACACCTGATGCAGTACGGTGATCACTTGTTCCTTGCTGAGGAGGAATGGGATCCCCATTTAGGGGAATGGAAGTCCCGGATTTTGAAGGTATCAAGTATTGTTTGTTGGTCTGGTTCATCTGATGTCATCTCCAACATACGTTGCCATGGCAACCGCACCACCGTCTAGTTTCAGCCGACTCTTATCACAAAAGCAAACACTAGTTAAGCTAGTGTTAATGAATGGTAGTGGGAAGTATGTATTGATTATTTATTCGTCCTTAGAGCCTTCAAAGAGGCGGTAATGTATGCCACCAACATTCAATAAAACCCGGTTTCAGGATGCCCGTCCCCGTCAGCTGAAAGCCGAATATCGACAGCACGGTACTCACAGCTGGCACCGCATTATTTCTATGGTATTTATTTTGACTCTGTTCCTGGTTGAAAAAAGATAGGAAAAAGTGCATTTTGATATTGTGGTGCTATTCACTTTAGGGAGTGCTGGGGTGATTTATACTGGTCAGTTTTGTGGCAAAAGTTTGGTCATATTTTTGAAAGCATCTGGATGCCAGATCGGTGAACACTTTTGCAGTATTGATTCAACCTAGTTTTGGAATGCCGTTCTTTTGGATTGGTTTACTCGACAATACTTATCATCAACGTAGTTTCGCTTATCCATCTAGGAGTGGAGATATAACCTAAAATGGCAACTCTGTCCTGCACTATTTCCTGCTAGCATCGGTAAATACTTTTTCTCCCGGGGCTAATTTGAACACTTTCTGCACCTTTTGTTGTGTGCTTTGTCACGTTGGTTGAGAAGCTTGTCCACTAATGCAATTTCGCTCACCAGTGACGATCGATTTCCTGCTTTTTCGTTTAGTGAAAAATTTTGATTACATACTGAGCCAAAGTGAACCTTTGGTATTGCGGTGATTTACATAAGTGTTCCGTATCGAAAGACACATTTGCGCCATCAGAAAACAAACAAGAGCAGTAGTTTAAACACCTGATACAAAGACTTATAGGACTGACATTCTGCATTGTACCGTTGCAAATTAAAATGAAGTGTCACAGTTAAAATGTTGCGCATTTTTCATTCTGCATTTGGACAAACCGCAACCATCTGCGTTTCACCAAGTGCTTCAATACAGGACAGTCTTCTTAATCACCAAAATACGGGCCCAGCGAGGTAGTTAGCTACTCAATGAATGTCTGAAAAACCAGTCTGTCAAAATAGTATCCGTTGAGGGTAAGCTACGCACCCGACCAACTAGCGTACAAGCTCGTTCCTGCTGCCAACCCATAGTGTGACGGGGAGCGACGGAGCACTGAATGGAGAACAGTGGGAGCTTGATGGCAATTTCTGGGCTTGTGAATAGGACGTTGCGTCCCGCTGCATATGTAAGCATTGAACAACCCAAATGGCAGGCGGCCGTTATTAACATTAGTAATTCCCTCCAGAAAAGACCTATATCCGTAAACTACTTGCATCACATCCACACTTTCGCAATAGCAGATACCTGACAGATCAACGTCTTACCGCATAGTAGATGTCGTATTTTTCAGCACATCTACAAAATTCACACCACACTCGTGATGTCCTCATGAGAACAGACCAACGACAGATTTCGTTTTACTTGGGGTTCATGGATAACAGCTGCTTGACATTTGGAGAACCCAGCCATTTCTATTGTTCTTAGTCAAGGATGAGCTGCCCTGCAGCTAGTTTGGGTTATCCAAAAACTTAACTTACGAAAAACGGATGTGAGTCGGCATCAGGACGGCGCGATTCATACAAGAGACCTTGTCACATTTGGATCTGCTGCTCCTCTGGTTATCGCAGTCTGAATGACTAATCGAAATAACACAAAAGACGAAAGTCTGACCAAGTTTTTAAGGCAAATATGGTAAGCCTTATTGCCAAATTGGGTGATAGCCGTGATCAGAACGACACTAGTCTGATTCCTTTAGGCTCAGAGCTTGTGGAACTAGTATCGTGATCCAAGAACATTAGTAGTGCCATCTATTCAGCCCACCTAATCTGCAGAGTTTACGGTCACCTTTCACCTTCATTTGTGCAATGTCAAACGGTTAAAATTTATGTCCATTTCTGATCACAGCTGGTCGTAGTAGGAGGTAACTTCCGCAACCTAGGGTTAGGTAGTAGGATATTTTCACATGTAATATTTCGATAAATCACGAGTTTTCTTCAGGATTCTTGCAATGGTTGGAAAGAGGCTTTTTTCGAAGCATCGAAAGCGTTGATGTAGCCACTTGAATACTGAGCAGTTGGAGACGTCAGTGGCTACTCGGGAAGTAGCCGAACTTACACGTTGGGATGTTTTTTGAATTTCATGTTGTTCCCATATACTATAGATCACTGAACACTTTTGTTCCAAATAGGAACACTAGTTTTCCGTGGCATCTTGCCGAATAAATCCCAAAACCTCTTGCTCCGACTAGAATGTCACGAATCTCTCCAGGTGCCACAAAATCATGCGGTCAGCTTTGAAAACGTATCGTGAATTCTAAATAAAGTAACTCCTTGGTTTATCCAACTTTCCAACTTCGTGCGGTAATCCCGCTACTTGTAGCAGCAAAGTAAGCGTTTCTTTCATGACCTCTCTGGTTGATTGGATAACTCCTATCTTTGCAGCATAGTGCGATAGATGACGACTATAAGATCAGGAAGAGTCATATTTAATCTTTATAATTGTCTGAAAACTTTTGCTTATGTCCATTGTGGACTGGCATCCGTCTCCGGCTTTGTCTGTCAAATCGAACTATGCTGACGGGCCTTAACATGCTGAGTTGCAGCTGTGACCGGCTGGACACTGTGTAACCTGTTTTCACCGGATGGAATAAGACCAGAGTGTCTATAGTTGCATCGACGTACGCATAATCCGGATACGGTGATTTCGTGATTTGAGACTGGCTAACGCGCCGAAAAACAAGAAAGCGAGAAAGTACGTGACTTGATATTGTCTATATGCAGCAGGTTCTCGCTCATGAATTAGACTGTTGGCAATGAAGCACAATGATCTCGATCCGTAGAGTTGTTTTTGGTCGTTGTCAACATTCAACCTCATCGTGCAGGTGATGCAGGAACCCCCCCCCCCAAAAAAAAAAACTAGAATTTACTCTTTCCGTTTCAGGGAACACAATTACCTCCAGGACCCACACCTCCTTACCTCAAAGATCATCTTTTTAGCGGTTTACCGCCGGTGTTGTTTGACGCCGCTCCTTTCGGATTCAAATTTGGAGACGTTATTGTCCCACCAAAAAGCATTTACACCCAAGTGAGCCACACTTTTGCAGTAAATCATGAATCTGTAATCCTTCATTTACCAAGGACCAATAAGCTTGCGTGTGTTTGCTCACAAGGAATGCATACAGTGGGTTTGTGATGTGATCTGCTTCCCTTCTGCGCACGCCTCACTGAACAGTCGAGGCAGAATACGTTTGGAGTTCACATACAGTTGTACGCAGGCTGCTCTTTGCGCTGATTGATCGCGGCCTGCTTTCCTGACATTGACTGCTTACCTGTCTTCATCCACTAATCATGAGCGGGCAAAGTCAGGATGAGATAAGTTCTATGCTCCCTGATGTTAAGTTTCTACCAATCGGGTCAAGATGTTTTTATGGGATAAATTTCGCTGAGGAGAACCCATACGGACTGAAGTTAACGAATCTAGCACATGGTATAAGAAACGCATTACAAATCTGTATTACCTTTGAAAATCAGATCTGAAATAATTACGACCACAGTTGCTTGTAGTAGTATCATGCTTTCATGATACATTTTTATGATTCTTATGCAGACTTAGCCCGAAAGTACAAAAGTCGCTTTTTCTTAGTAGTCCAAATAACGACAGCTAAAGAGTCACCATGCAGAATCGCAAGTTTTCTATCAAATAAAATCCAGTATTTAATCCCCTGAGGTGACTGTTCCCACTCAGGTTGTGTAAACTTTATCCAATAGGAAAAATTAACGCACATTGGGGGAGACTATCTGGAACATTTGCTGTATACGGAGCGAAACATGTCAACGCACTCTCACAGACACTGTTTAAAATGGGAAGTTTATTACTGTGGCTGTAATACAAATCAAATCAGTTCATCACCATCATCATCATCATCA